GCTTATCGCTCTCCATATTTAAAAGGGCACCAACCAAAAACTACTGCGTAGAATTAATTGGAATTTTTCACACACAAGCCTTGCTATATGAGCTCTCAAAGCATATAAAAATTATACGGCTTAAATGTGAAGTTGGGTGCAAAAGAATACAATTAAATCCTCTGTCGAGAAAAAACGAAATGACTTTCCGAATAACCCAATAGTTCCAAAAAGTTTGATAGTTTTAACGTCTCTCACACCAACAATGTCATCGTCCGAAAATATAAGGTTTATCCAAAGAGACCTGCACCCATTGTCTAATTTCCCCCTTCGTGGCTGACTTGTCAATTCATCTCCCCTTTGAATGCTGCAATTTAATAACCTCAGGTCAATATAAGTTCCCTACCAAGCGGCGTGACCTAGGGATTTAGACCATTGCTTAGCATTCGGAAGGACACAGGCTTCGGATCTGTCTAACCTTGTCCAATTTTTTCGGTGATTTCTTTGAAATCCTTATGTTAATGCTGGAACAGTAATGTTCCACAGACAATCATTCACTCTCCTCTGTCTTCATTTCTCAAAGGAGTTTAAAGAGGGCCTGCCGCTTTATCCTCCAAAGCAGTCCAGAGTTACTGCCGGCCCACCAGCATTAGTAACATGTGGGAATAAAACACCCAAAAGTTTCTTTCTTTTTTTGGCATGACCTAAGGATTTTCTGGGATCACTTATGCAAAAGCTAAAGCAGTTGGACTATTCCACAGGTAACCCTTCACTTAACTTTTATTTTCCTTTCGTCCATCTCATCTTTTTTCCTCCAACCATCACCCACTTATTCCCATGGTTCCTGTAAGTCGGTGGTTTTTAGGCCTGTAGGTGGCCTGTAAGTGTAGGGTTTTAGGCCTGTAGGTGGCCCGTTACAACATCACAAAAATTCATGGGCAAACGTTTCAAATGGACTGTTGGAACACTGAATGGGTTCATCGTTTGTTTCATGCCCGCTTCAAACACATCGCCCTGTATATACTGCATATTTGTAAATCTAGTTGCTATTTTTTGATGGCAGAAATATTGAATCGCGCTTGTGATTACGGAACAACTTTGTTCTGTTTGTTCTATATTCCTAAAATATCCTTTAAGCTGAATAAATTACGGTTTAAATTACGCAAAAGTTGGCAGAACTTGATCGTTAATTATACCTCCTGTTTCAATGAAAGATGCCACCTGTTTGACAAAAAGCATTTGTTCAAATTTTACCAGATAAAAGAAGCAGGAAAGCATTCAGTTAACAATTTCATAATCTTCTTCATCTCTTAAATCATTTAAAAGTGTCACCTTTATGATAACATCAAAGAGAATTTAGTTATGGTATAAAATAGAATTTACTGACCGCTAATAAAACCAGATATAAGCATTAATAGTTCACGAAAAGCATATTAAGTGCAAGCGCAAATAAAATTTATAGGAATATAAATATGAAGCAGTAAAACAGAAAAACACTGAAACCTAGAATTCTACAAAAAAAAACATATTTCGTGAGCATCCTGACATTAAAAAAAAAAAAAACAATTTTAATGTTTTCTGTTGTCGTGTTTCCTAACATGCTAAATTATAAAAAAATGCAACGTTCATACTTGTAAACACTCTTGTTGCTTAGGTATATTCATAAACCCTGTAATATTGTCAGCGTCAGATGAGAGAAGAACAACGCAACGCCACGATGATTTCCCATGGGCATTCTTTTCCTGTATGGTTTTTATAACAGACCCAATTTTTTTATTTAAATATAGCACATACGCATGAATGATGTACTACACCACAAACCCGCAAGAAATTAAAAATTTATTAATTTAATGTACAAACAAAGAACGACACATTCGTTATAAATTTGATCATGGATTTCAATTGAAAACCGCTTCGATCCGTCAAAATTTAGGTAAGTAATTGCGCATGTTGTAAACTAATTTTTATGTAATTAAAATGGGTTTTCAAACTATTACTACAAAGGTGTAAAATTGGGGTTTGCAATATAATCCAATTCCTTGCAACAGTTAGTTAGATAATTATAAATTCCATTACTTAATACAATTAAAAATGGAGAAGTTGTTTGTTAAAATGTATGCACACCATACCAGAGATGTGATTTATTTGAAATACAAATAGAAGATGCAAAATACCTTTTTTTTATTTTCTGTATTAATTGCCATTTTCTAAATATTAACTTCATTTCGTATTTCAGCAGTTTTTATGGCTAATCTTCATTTCGAAGATACTAAATGCAAAAAGTAGTTCGAAGTGGTCAGTATTCTGTCGAAACTGCCAGACGCGGATCGCGATTTCGATCTTTTTGGATCTCATCAGCGCGTCGCAGGCAGCCCGACAGAAGACAGACCAACTTTTACCTGCTGTCTTAACAGCGCGCTTTAGAAAACCATACGTAATCCTTAAATGTAGCATCGTACTACAGATGGCGTTTACCGCGCCATTTGTGGTGTTTTCTATACTAAAAGCAAACTAGAATGATTTACTTATATATGTAC